CTTTTTTGGGTGACACAATTCAATCTTTAACAGCTTCTTCTTCTTTTTGGTTTTTTTGCTGAAGAAGACTAGCCCTGAACGAACATCTGTGCCAGTCTTCCTCTATTTTATATGTGGGTCACCGCCACAGCATGGCTGACAAGTGGTCTGGGTCCACACTCCAGATCCAAAGCCATGAATCCAGGCCACTGAAGCAGAGCACACAGAACTTAACCACTATGCCATGTGGCTGGCCCCTATAACAGCTTCTTAAAAGATGAACCCCACACCAGCAGCATCAGCATCACCTGGGAATTTGTTTAAAATGCAAAACCTTGGGCCCTACCCTAAACCCACTGAATCAGAAACTCTGGAAATGCATCCAAATAATTAAGAAGCCTTCCAGGAGGTTCTGATGCATGTTCAAGTCTGAGAACCACCGTTTTAAACCATACTGTGCATTAAAAAAAAAATCATTTTGTAATGCTAAGCGTGTATCCTGCCCTTCCAACAGAAGTGCTAGCCCTCTGGGCTGTCTGACTGCAGTACCACACCTTTCTTCCTCCACAGCAGCGATCAACTAGTACTTCCTGCCACATAAAGCAGGCTAGAATCTGGAGGCCTGGGCAGCCCACACATGGTCTTCAGGTAGGTTTTATTTTGTCTGCTCATGAGTACTATGAACTAATTGCCAACATTAAAAACCTAGATTACAGACTTGAAAAAACTGTAAGATCTGCCAACATTGGGTCCAAAATCTCACATGGCAACAGTCAACCAACGGATGGCTGCCTCTCTGAGGTAGGGCATGAGGGTTCCAGTTAAGCTGCAGTCCTCACCATTCCCAGACGTCTCTCTGAACTGGGGCTTCACGCAGAACAACCTCACTCATTTACACTGCCTATCTGGCCCCTAATGGCATTTGGATTTGAACCACGGCTGCACAGAGGGAAGCTAGACCGAAAAATGCATCACTCTCCACAGCCTGAAATACTTAGCTATTTCTGATCAGCAAGTTAGGATCGGAGTTCTAGAAGCCAGTGTCTCTGATTAGCACCGACTTTAAGTTCTGAGAGTTTAGCTTCACTTTTCATTAAGTAACAGGGCAAGTTATGAAATGACTCAAGCAGCGGAGACCAAAGTTTTGTAGTGGCCTGGCTGTGCGATGATGCGTGGGCAAGCAGAACTCGGGGAGAGGGGCGTTTGCACCGGCACGCTTTCTTCAGGGAGCCACGCAGGGTGGGGGACACGCAGCGTGCTTCTGCGCATCACACTGCCCCCTCCATGTCCATGCTCCGCTGAGCCCAACAGCAGAGCGGCTGTGAAGAGGCGACCTTCCAGTGAAGCAAGTGGGGAAAGTCCCTCTCGAAAGCTACTTCCAGGACATACAAAATTTTTAAAGAGCAGATCCAGACCAGGATTTGACAACTGTGCCTTTAACACAGACACCAAACCATTTCTGTACAAAGGACAGAAAAGATCCCATTTCTGTGCCTCGCGCCGGTCACACGGGCGGCTGGTGAAGTCGGGAGCAGAGCGGTGTTGGGGCCCCTTTACCTCTGCAGTGAGAGTGGGCCTGGAGTTTGGAGGCGAGAACTCACACACGAGTGGGGACAGGCACACGGTTCCGACAAGGGCACAAGCCTGAAGGGAGCTGGACTCGCCCCAGCGTTCACCCCAAAGAATACAGCGACAGTACAGCCACTCAGAGAGGCCAACCCAGAGGGTCCAGACAGGTGGCCCCATTACGTCACAGGGCTATTTTCTGACAAATTCTTAAATTTCATTCTCTCCTTAACTGCCACTGTACTGCAGCAGTCCTAAGAAAGGAAAGAAGAGATGGAATATGCCACCAATGACTAAATCTGCCTTTAAAGCTACTGGAACTTAGAACAACGATAATTTTCGCAAAGGCAAAGATGACTGTTTCTCCCGGGCAGACCGAATATTTTGAATAGTCTCTCAAAAATTATAACAGCTCTCCACAGCAAAATAACTATATATAAAAGGGAGCAGGCTTGTGATGTGGAAACAAAGGTGCCCTTTCCTTCCTTGGTACTCATACTACCACATTAGCCAGGGTTCTCCAAAAAATGGAACCAATAGGATGGACATACACACATAGAGAGAGAAAGGGATTTATTATACGGAACTGGCTCACATGATCATGGAGGCTGACAATCCAAGAGCTGCAGGGTGAGTCAGCCGGACCCCAGGAGAGCTGATGTTTCAGTTCCAGTCAAAGGCAGGAAAAACCAATGTACCAGCTCAAAGGCCATCAGGGAGGAGGAATTCCCTCTTATTCAGGGTAAGGTCAGTCTTTTTGTTCTATGTGGGCCCTCAACTGATTGGATGAGGCCCACCCACCTCGGGAAGCCAATCTGCTTTATTCAGGCTACTGTTAATCTCATCCAGAAACACTCACAGACACAACTAAGGAAATGTTGGAGATGTTTTAGCACCCCATGGCCTAGGCAACTGACGTACGAAAGTAACCATCACCACCCCCACATGCCTGGTGGTTGAAAAGGCAAGGACAATCAGCCCACAGGAGAAGCTAGAACCTGTGAAGAGCAAATACGCAGGGAAGAGAAACACAGGTCTGACGCTCTTGCTGAGCTCGCTCAACTGTCATTCAGGGTCACCACGCGATGGCCTAGGTAAACTGCGTGTCACTGTGCACCTCCTAGAATGCCTGCAATCAAAAACAAATACTGACAACGCCAGGCGCTGGTGGAGCCACTGGGACTCTCGCCCCTCGACGGAAGGACTGTTACATGGCTCAGCCACTGTGGAAAACAGCGTGGCAGTTTCTTATCAAGTGCGACATACACTGACCACACAGCTTAGCAATCCCACTCACAGGTACTTACCCCAAAGAAACAAACACTTACGCTCACACACAAGCCTGTGTGTGAACGTTTACAGCAGCATCACGCATGCTCACCAAACTCTAGAAACAACCCACCGTCCTTCAAGGGCAAGTGCACCAACAACCATCCGTGCAGTGGGAGCACTCAGCAATGAGCAGGAGCACAGGCTCACGCACGACTCTCAAAAGCGCTACGCTCAGGGAAAGCAGCCAGCCTCAGAACAGTGAAGACTATGTAATTCTACTTATACGGAATTTCAAAAAGACAAAACTACAGCGATGGACAAGAGCTCAGTGGTTGCCGGGGGCTAGGGGTGGAGGATGGGGTGACTGTGAAAGGATAGTACCCACGAGTTTTCGGGGTAATGAGACTGTTCTGAACCCTGATTTCGGTGGCGGTTACACAAATCTACACGGTTAACTTTCACAGAATTATACAACCCCCCTCCAATGTCAAATTTATTGTATGGTAATTTAAAAAGTTTAAAAATCAAACGGTAAAAAAATAATCATATGTCGCCCATTTTATGTACAGAACGGGTGGGAAATATCTGTGGAAGGGGGTCAGTCAAGAGAAGCTGAATGTGGAATGTAGACATGCAGGTGGGAGCGAGAAGACAGTACTCACAGGCCTCATTCATACAGTTTGAGAGAGAAAGGGGAGAAGCGACATTCTTGAGTCACTGGGCACAACCTGGTAATTCTCCGAACAGGCAAAACAGCTGTGATTTGCAACATTTCTTTCCCAGGAACTTTGGATTCACGGTCTCTTCTAACAGCCGCAAGGAAGGAAATTTAGGCTTAGAGACGGTAAAGGATTTGCCCTGGATTCTGATCTCGGTCTGTCTGGTTCCCGAGTCGCCACACGCAGCCACAGCGAGGACCATATCTTGGTTCCTCTCTGCACTCCAGCAGGCCCCTCAAAGTCCTGCTCTTCCTTTAAAGGGGGGGCAGGGGGGCCGTGCCCCCAGGGAACATGTGGCAAGGTGTGGAAACAGTTTTGGTTGTCACAGCCAGGGGGCAGGGTGCTAGAGTAATCTGGCGGTAGAAGCCAGAGATGCTGCTAAACATCCTACAGCATACAGGACACCTCTGAACAAAGAACGATCCAGCCCCCAATGTCCCCAGCGCAGAGGCTGAGAACGTCCGAGTCTAAAGGAAGGCAGGCAGGAAACACGTCCAGGAGCCAGATGCGGGGCGAGTTGTTTTTAATTTCTCATGTCACTTATCTCCTCAAGACCCTCTTGAGGTAGGTGCTGTTAACCCCAATTTGTAGTGAAGGAGGTCACAGCTCAGGCCCCTAAAGGAATGTGCCCAAATCTCAGTGGCAGACAAGCACCTGTGGCCCCCAGGCCCCCCTGGCAAGGCGGGAACGCCGGCAGTGCAGTGCCCCAGGGCGGCCGGCCCTCCGCAGACCTCCCTCCACTTCCTCTCTTCTCGTCTCAAAAACCCCCCTTAACCCTGAGATCGGGAAACGAGGCGGGCTGCTGGGCCGGCAGAAGGGCCAGTGTGAATGTCAGAGGCTCCGGGAGCTGGGCTGGGTCTGTCAGCACTGAGACCCGCCCAGGACTGACTGGTTTGCCTTGTTGTTTAGGGCACCAATGTCTCCTCCGTGCAAAGAGCCCAGACACACCCAGCTGCAGTCCTGGCCGCCGGGCTCTCCGGAGCAGGAGCCCTGGAGCTGCAGCAACGCACCACCATTGCTTTCCCAGGCGACCTCCGATGGGCAGGGTGCCCAAGGACACAGCCAGGGCTTTCAAGGCAAGTCCGGGAGCACCTCCGAGCCATTCCCTTCACTTTCCCCTTTCACATAACTAGCGTTGACAGTTCCAACAGCTGGAAACGGGGGTGTGTGTAAGACAGAGCAGGAGGAGAGGAGAGGGGAGGGGAGACGGGGAGAGAAGCGGGAGAGATGGAGAAAGCAGAGGGAAGGCAGAGGGACAGTGTGAGAGGAGCATAATAAAACTCAGAGAAGGGACGGGGCTCAAGACAAACAAAGAGCACCTCCAGGACGCAGGAGCCTCCTGCAAACGCGGGGGCACCCTCCTGCAAACGAGGGGGGACCGCGTTAAGTGAAGCTGTTCTCAGACTAGAGCGGCGGAGGCAGACCCCGGGGGCGGGGAAGGGGCGGGGAAGGGGCGGCACTCACAGCTCCAGGATGAGGACGACGTCGGTCTTGCTCTCGTAGACCTCGTGCAGGGTGATGACGTTGGGGTGCCGGATCTCCTTCAGGATGCCGACCTCGCGCTCGATGTCCTCGCGGCTCACGCCGCGCCGGCTGGACCTGGTCCTCCTCTTCTTGATGAACTTGGCGGCGTACTGTAGCCCGGTGCTCTTCTCACGGCATTTCTTCACGACTGCAAACTGCCCGCTGAGGAGAGAAGGTGCGGGAAGGTCACGGGTCATTTATGTGGACTTCATCTTTCCTGAAAGATAGGATCTGTGCAAGGATGCGGCACGGGAGCACCAGGGCATTGTGAAAGGTCCAAATTGTGGGCAATTCACAAACTTAAAGAGGAATAGTTCTTAATTTATGTATTTCAGTTTCATTAAGGCTGTTTCTTTATGGATAATGTTGCAAGGAATACAAATTATTTTCTTGAATTTTACTGACTAGGTATTAATGCCTCCACTTCTGTGCTCTCCTCCTTCCCTCCCATGTCAGATTCGGGACTGAAGGAGGAAGGAGCTCCGATCCCACCTCACTTCTGACAAGCTCTTTGTTTGTCTGTCTAGGAAAGCAAAGGATGGAGACCAGAGAACGGGTAGAAAAATATACAGGGCCTTGCCTTTGATGACATATTTCTAGCACCAATATTGATCAACTGAAACAGTGAGAACAAAAACACTACATCCTTTGGTGACTCTGCAGGGACCGAGAAGCCATATGTACTAGGCATTTGTTGGTATCAGGACTTCTCCAGTATCACCTCCCTTCTCTTCCTGTCCCAACAATATATCTAGGGATCCTGTGGTTCTGGGAAGCTGACTCTACCCTCACCTAGAAATATGGATCACGTGACCTAAGCTAGGCCAACCAGTGCACTACAGTTTCCTGGCTCTGCTGAGAGACACAGGACCTAAGTAAGACTTTCTGGAAAATGCAGAGACAAAGACTTTTTCTGCGACTCTTTTCTCTTCTGGATGTGAACACTGAACTACATGACAGCAAAAGCTGCTGCCAGCCATCTACACAAGGGGACCCACTCTTGGTTTAAAACCAACCATTGTAGGGGCAGAGCTGGTAGAAGGAAAGAAACTAGGTCTGGATCAACCCTAGTCTGAAGCCATCTGCCTTTGGATTTTCAGCAACATAAGCCAATAAACTCCCTTTATTACTAAAGCCCGTTTGATTTGGGTTTTCTATTTTTTGCAGAGGAAAGGATCCCTTATGCCACAGCACGTAACCAGATCTTCCTACCCATACATGAAAGAATATAATAGCAGAACTTAACACAAAATAATGTGAATATGTAAGAAGGTGAGATCTTGCGAGGGAAGCAGGCTACCCTGAAAGTAAGTGAAACACAAGGAAAGACCCTTCCTGTATGGGCACGGGCACCCTCACTTCTTCCCTAGCGCCCAAGGCGGGGTGGACGCACCCAGTACAGGAGCTGCACCTTTCTCGTCACCTGCTGCACAACTGCGTGTGGAGAATCATCAGTTATTTTTAGCTAGCTATATTCTCCACACGTGAAGACAACAGGGGAAGAGAAAATCAAATTAAGGGTAATATTTCGATGTTACAGAATGGATACTTTATGGGGCCGGCCCCGTGGCCGAGTGGTTAAGTCTGCGCGCTCCGCTGCAGCGGCCCAGGGTTTCGCTGGTTCGGATCCTGGGCACGGACATGGCACCGCTCATCAGGCCATGTTGAGGCGGTGTCCTACATGACACAACTAGAAGGACCTGCAACTAAGATACATAACTACGTACTGGGGGGATCTGGGGAGATAAAAGCAGGAAAAAAAAGATTGGCAATAGTTGTTAGCTCAGGTGCCAATCTTTAAACTAAAATGGCTACTTTAAAACGTTACTCATTTACTTTAGCAGCAGGAGGCCAGTGAAGAAAAAACACCTAGTGAAGGATTATTTTTATAGCAGTGTCAACTTTTTTGCATGGCAGGTTATTAATACCCTCGTCCCCGCGCAGCAGGATGGCAGAGAAGCTGAGGAATGAGTCACACTGGAAGGCTAACACCAACTACCCATAAACTCGCCACCTTAGAGAGTCATAGGATCTGTGACGACCTCATCAAACCATTCTCCAATTTCTTGGGGAGTGAAGACCTGGCGTTCTCTCCATTGTGGGGTGGGCCGCAGAGATGGGGCTCACAGTCCGCCCCTCACGAAGACCGGACGGTGATCCCACTGAGCGCTCCCAGGCGCACCAGGACGGAGGGGGCGGCGCACCAGACCCCCCCCGGGCCTTCCACCCTACACACAACCCGCACTTCCAGGGGCCAGCCCGGCGCTCCTGTCATGGTCACGGCGACGTGTCGGAGGCTATAAACACTCAAGGAAGCCTCTGTGGTTTGAATCACGTTGCTTTAAAAAACAAAACCAAAGAGCCAAAAAGTAAATTTCAGCAGGGGAGCCACCAAGAAGTAGAATGCAAGCCTAAATTCTAAGACTATCCTGAATGTGTTTTCACCCCTCAAACATCCCATGTTGACCTTTCCCCCCTTTTAATTACGGGAAGCTGAGAACGTCAAGGCCACCCACCCTAGCAGCCGGGTTAAGGCGAGCTATCCACATCTGGAGTGTGGAGGCCAGAGGCTGTGCGCAGCCTGAGCTGAGTGTGGCCCCAGGTTTGCCGAGAAACACAGGAACTCACTCCCTCACTGGAGAATCGAGTCTGCTCTCACACTTTGGGGTCCCCAGACGCAGGGTGCTGCTGGGAGAGGAGCGGACGAGGGCCAGCAGGTGGGAGAGGCTCTGGCCCAGGAGAAGACGTGATTCTCCTGCCGCACGGCTGCATGCTAGTGTCCCTGCTGACCTTGGCTGCAGAGGGTCAAAGAGGGTCTAGAGTGATTTGGGGGAACATTTTCCAGACCCATCTCAATGCCGCCTCTTTAAAGACACTTTTCCTTATTTTTCTCCAGCTCCCCACCAATCGGCCCCCCACCTCCTGCTCCAATGCAGTGCTCTCTCCTGCACCTCGTGCCCTTGTGTGTCACTTACTGCTCTCTGCCTTTCCTGGCCCATTGCCACTCCTCTCAAGACGGTAATTCCTTGAGGACAGATGGCTGTCGGGTGCATGGCATCCTCCTACCCCCTGGGGCAGTGGGTGCAGAGCTCTGCCAGGGACCCACGCACCATGCTGACCTGCTGCTCTTGAACTCCAAATCCAACATTCAAAAACCAGGAGTTAAACTGAAGATTCTCCACTGTAATTAAGCAGAACCGTGCAGGGCTGGAGCACAGACTGACTGTGTTTGAGGCTTGGTTCCACCACCTGCTGGCTGTGCAACTGTGGGCTGACAGACTATTGAATCACTCTGTGCCTCAGTTTCCTTATCTGTAAAGTAGGCATAATAACAGTGCGTACCTGGAAACGTTGTTGGGATGGAAGGGGAAAGATTTAAAGAGTTAAGCTGGGTGAAGCGGTTAGAACAGCCTGGCAGTGGGAAATGTTCAGTAACTGTTACCGATTATTAATCTTTGACAACTGCAGTTATTTTCATTAGCTCACAGTTGCTTAAATCTCCAAGCTGTGCAGTATTATCCCCAAAATATCACCTCTCATGACTGCCAGGGCGAAAAGAGCTCTAAAACGAAAGCCACAACACGGCTGTACTGTGTTAAAGTGTGCAAAACTATTGCTAAATCTGGCAGCTGGCTTCAACCTTCAAGCTATTGCCCCGCCCCCTGCCTCTCCCTGCCCCACAGAGGGAGTGTGGCCGCTCCCTGCCACTCCCTGCAGCCTGGCCGCCTGGGGAGCTCACAGTCACAGCTGAGCCAAAGCACAGGCAGCAGGCCCACAGGGCCCAGGGGCCTTGGGGCGCCACAGCAATGCGGGTGGGGACTTTCACAGCGGAATCTCTTCACCCAGCCAACACTGGGGACAGACTCCTGGGAGAAGAAACGGTCTGCGCACAGGAATTTGCCATGTGAGGCCTAATTCGAGCTGGGCTGTTGGTTAATTGCCACTTCCATCCTCTCTTCCTGGGCAGCTGGCCCCCGCCCGCCTCCCTGCACCCACTCTGGGGGCAGTTCCTCTTCTCCCGTTCCTCCCTCCCCCACCAGCAACTGAAGAAACAATTTGTTTGGGTTTTGGGGACAGGGGCGTCTACACTGTGGGCTCCCAGAGTAACAACCTGATGACGCTCCCAGGGTCTGCTCTTACAGGGAGGCAGTAGGTGGATGCAGAGAACGTGGCCCCCAGGGCCGTGCCTGGGGGACGGCCTGTCCCTCAGGACCCCATCAGGGATGGCCGCCCATGCAGAGGCTGCAGCCAGAGCCACGTGGCTTCTTCCTGGAAACAACCTTGCTGTGTCCCAGGACACCTGCGCCTGAGGAGCTGGAGCAGGCGAGCCTCAGTTTACCTGTGAACTTGCCTGCTGGCTAAAATGTACCTGTAATCTCAAAAGCAACACTGGCAGTGCTTCCGGGTGGTTCGCGGATCTGAGCCGCGGGATGTGCACACGCCCGCTGAGTGGGCCAAGGCCACGCTCTGCCTCTCATCCTTTTTATGGTCTGTTTAGCACCACGTTTTTTCACGTTTTGAGCTTTTTGTTGCTGATTTGGCTACTTGTACCGGCCCCCACAGGTAGTGCTGAAGTTGGTCGGCACAGAGAAGTGTGGGCCGACTTCGTGAGGGCACCACTTGAGTGCTGTGGCTGTGAGGTCAACATTAGAGTCAGCAGCAGACATTAGATAAGGTGCCTTTTCACAAAAACACACACGAAAGGAGGTTAGGCACCGATCTGTTGACGGAAATGCGACCCCAGGCTCACAGGAGCCCAAACCTGTGCTTCTCTAGGACGAATGGTCCAGAATTGGCTAATTCGGGATTTGTGGTGAATTTGGAGAACATCATTACCATGAATAATGAGAACGGGCTGTACGTCGCTTTTAGAAAATGCACAAGTATTCTTGGTCATCCAGCAACGGACAGTGTTGCTAGGTACAGACAGCCAAATGCATTCTACCATAAAACTTCCAATTAAATGTAGCAAACAATTACTAACTACTGGTGGTCAGATACATACAAAGACGAGGAGACATCCCTGCTTTAAAGAAAAACTCCAGCAAGCCACCCCCTGTGAAGCCACAGCAGGACTGGAGCGTCATTCTGGGCAAGAGCTTTGCGAGGGGAAAGCAAAGAGAGGGACTTGTGGTTAAAATAAATTTGGGCAACGTTGCCTT